AACCAAACTTTCCTCCCTTCCAGATTCCTTCGATCGCTTTGTGGCAGTTGTTAATCTATGTTTCCTTCCTACTCTACTCCCACTACTCCTACTCCTGCTACACCCCATTCCCATGCAAGATCCTCTACTGCTGCATCATCCCAAGCCAGTTGTCCCAAGGGCAGATTAGCTACACCTCCCAAGGTGCAGTCCCTGCCACTTGTGGCAGGGCACCCTGTGACTTCTGAGGCTTAAGTGATTGCAGGCCTAGGCCAGCAGAAATCGAGGCGCCCCAAGACAGTCCAACCTGAACCACTCACTGGGATAACCACGAAGTGGATGTAGCAGATTGGACTGCCTCGATGAGATGGTACCTCAAAGAACTCACTTGCCCAGAGGTTACCAAGGTGCAGTCCACTGTGGCCCGTTTGGGAGGGTCTGCACTTCAGTGGGCTACTTCTAAGGCCAATAAGGCCCAAAAACAGCTGGCCAACTGGGCTGTTACAGTAGGATTGGACCAAATATTTAAGGGTCTAGAGGAGAGGTTTGCCGATCAAGAGAAATCCAGGAACGCTGCTGCAGAGCTTGTGAGGATAGGCCAGTCAAAGTGGCAGGGATCCCTCTCCAAGCTCTATGCAGTTTGGAAAAGTCCATGTTAGACCAGGACAAGTTGCAGTTGTTTGTCCAGGCCAAGGACTGGAGGGCCTTTGGCAGAGCGGCCTTGGATCTGGAGGCCAAACTCCAAATCCAGTCCACTTCCCAGGCGGGAAGCACAAGCAAAGGGAGGTGGCACGTGATGGAGTCTGTGGAAGATTCTGCAGGCTTTGACCAGAAATGATTGACTCCCTCATCTGGTCAAGGTCCCGGAGGCTTCCCAGACCAGGCTTTTCTGGCTTTGGCTCGGGAACTGGTAAGCGCCATGAAGGGCGCAAATCAGCTCCAGAGACAAAGGTCCCCCCCCCCTATCGGGTCTCGCAAATGCCCCTGTGGACCTGAGAAGCAAAATCTGCCCAAGTTTGCCAATTGTCAAGCTAACCCCATGGACCCTTTCTCTCTCCCATGGAGGGATTTGCACATCCCAGATGGGCTGTGGCAAAAGAGGAAGGATGCCGGTGTCTGCCTCAGATGTGTTGGGCAACACTTAGTCAAGTGCTGCCCTTCTTGGGGCAACCACTACGCTGTAACCTGATCCAGTTAGCAGCAGATTTTGCTGGACTGAGCATCCTTTTTTTGAAGAAGGATCCGGTGCAGTTTGGTTGTTTGTAACCTACCTGTGTGTGTGTTCAGCTGATGGAAACCTCCTCCTGATATAGCTACCTTGAGCCTGATTCCTTCACTGATCCCAATGGTTTGTTTTTGCATCTCCTGTGCTTGAGAATGAGTACGTTAAGTTTCGGCTTACTCAAGTTTCTCAAACACCGTTGATGGACAGACTGTTATCTGGACTGAATTCATCTTCTCTTGAAGATGAATCAGCCCCAAGATTGCTTTCATTCTGACAAAAATTCCAATGTGAGTTTACATTGAATCCTTGTCTGACTACCCCCTTGTACTCCCTGCGAGTGGCATTCACTGTTTGATCACGATCATGTTCTCACACTGACCTGCACTCATTGGATAGATGACCTGTGTTTGAGAGGGAGTATGATTAGTACAGATCTTACCTCAAATTCTCCTACATGGTCCTAAGTTTTCCTCTCTCAGGTAGAAATCAGATTTCAAGTGTTTCTCTATGGTCGCACATTTGTAGCTACAGTGTTCTGAATTTTACCTATAGAGCTGCAAATTCCTTTTACCCACTGGGCTTTGTCCCAGTAATGTCTCAGCCTGATTGGCCAAAGTCAACTTTGTTTGTGGCTGAACTCTCTACTCAGATACCTATCCTACACACGACTCTGTCACTTCAAGCATTATTGTTGAATATGGTCAAGCTTAGCCCCACATACAGATCTTGTCGATCCTACCCTATTTTTGGGAAGAATCTGAGTATCACGCTTGCAGATACACAAATCAGCAGTTGAGGAGTCTAACTGATACCCAGTCCAGACTGCAATCAGACTCGTTTCATTCACACTTTTCATGCACGTGAACAGCAGCACAGCAAACTGGCGACATGCGCCCACACAGTACTCAGAGATATGGCTTCCAGGTAAGAGTTCACTTCCACTGGCTATGGCGACTCAGCGCCCAACAACCCACTGTTCACACACTCCGGATCACCCTGGATATCCCACACGCGACACACCGAACACTCACACAACACACACAC